TACTGTGTTCATGGATTAGAAGAATTAACATTATTAAAATGTCCATACTACCCAAAACAATTGATACATTCAACACAATCCCTATGAAAATACCAATGACATATTTGAAAGATATAGAACAAATATTTCAAATATCTGTACGGAATGATAAATGACCTTGAATAGCCACAGCAATTTTGAGAAAGAACAAGGTAGGAGGGATCACAATACCTGACATCAAACTATATTATAAGGCCATGGTAATCAAAACAGTTTGGTATTGGCATAAGAACAGACACATAGATAAATGGAACAGAATAGAGAGCCCAGAAATAAACCCATGTCTCTATGGTCAATTCATATTCGGCAAAGGGGGTAGCAGCAAAAAAATGGAGTAAAACTAGCCTCTTCAACAAATCATGTTGTTAGACTTGAACAGCTATGTGCAAAAAAACGAAATTTGAGCACCAATGTACACCACACACACAAAAAAATTCAAGATGTATAGAAGACTTAAATATAAGCCGTGACACCATAAAAGTCCTAGAGGAGCACATATGCAGGAAAATGTCTTATTTCACACAGCAATATTTTCACTGGTATGTCCCTTAGAGCAAGAGACATAAAGAAAGAATAAACAAATGGGGCTTCAATAAAATAAAAAAGCCTCTGCATGGCTAAAGAAAACATTGGCAAAATGAAAACAGAACCAACCATATGGGAAAATATATTTGCAAATGGTATCTTGGACAAGGGTCTGATCTCCAAAATACATAACGAACTCACACTACTCCACTTCAGGAAGACAAACAAACCAATTAAAAAATGAGCAAAGGACCTGAATAGAAATTTCTCCAAGGAGGACATATGAAGTGCCCAGAGACATATGAAAGGATGTTCAGCATCACTAACCATCAGAGAGATGCAAATTAAAACCACAATGAGATACAACTTCATGCCAGTCAGAATGCCCATCATAACCAAATCAAGGAACAAGTGCTGGAGAGGCTGTGGAAAAAAGGGAACCCTAGTGCACTGTTGGTGGGAATGCAGACTGGTGTGGCAACTGGGGAAAACGGTATAGAATTTCCTCAGAAAACTAAAAATGGAACTGCCTTTTGACCCGGCAACTCCACTGCTGGGATTATACCCTAAGAATCCTGAAACACCACTCCAAAAGAACCTATGCACCCCAATGTTCATAGCAGCCTAATTCACAATAGCCAACTGTTGGAAGCAACTTAAGTGCCCATCAGTAAATGAGTGGATCAAAAAATTATGGTATATTTACACAATGAAATACTATGGTGCAGAAAGAAAGAAGGAGATTCTACCCTTCAATACAGCATGGATGGATCTGGACAGCATTATGCTAAGTGAAATAAGCCAGGCAGTGAAAGACAAATACCATATGATCTCACCTATAAGCGGAACCTAATCAATAAAACAAACAAGTGGCAAAATATAACCAGAGACATTAAAATAAAGAACAAACTGACAGAAACTAGAGTGGATGGGGGAAAGGATAACCAGGTAGAAAAGGGGAAGGGTCATCAAGTAACATGTATAAAGGACCCATGGACATATCCAAAGGGAGGTAGGATCAAGGGAGGGAGGGAGATGGGGATGGGTGGGGTTGGGGGGAGTAGCGGGGAAAAATGGAAATAACTGTACTTGAACAACAATAACAAAAAAAAATAGAAAGAAAATGGGCAAAGGACTTGAACAGACACTTCTCCAAGGAGGACATACAAAGGGCCCAGAGACATATGAAAACTGTTCAACATCACTAGCCATCATGGAAATGCAAAGTAAAACCACAATGAGGAGAGTTCCAGCCAAGATGAAGGTATAGATAGAAATGCTTCTCTTCCTTGCATAAAAGTAGGATAACAACCAATTTAAAAACAATAAACAACCAGAACTGCCAGAAAATCAAACCACATGGAACTCTGACAATCAAGGAGTTAAAGAAACATTCATCCAGACCAGTAGGAGGGGTGGAGGCAGGCAGGCGGGCGAGAGGTCCTGTGGCAATGTGGTGGACTGCATGCAGAAGGCAAGGGCTGGATGACCAGGAAACTAAAGACTCAAAACCTTTGGCTGAAAAATTTTGTGGGGATTACGAAGGTGGAAGAAACTCCCAGTCTCACAAGAGAGTTCATTGGAAAGTGGGGCTAGAGTAGAGTGAGCAAGCTGCATTGTTTCCTCTCTGACCCCTGTCCCATAGACAGCACCACAGTGCAGCAAAGAGGATTGCCCTGTTGTGGCGAATCCCTAAGGCTCTTCCCCTTACAATAGACATAACAGATATGCTGAAACAAAGAAATATGGCCTAAAGGAAAGCACAGATCAAAACTCCAGGAAACAACTAAGCAACAAGGTGATAGACAACCTGTCAGATGCAGAGTTCAAAACACTGGTAATCAGGATGCTCACAGAAATTATTGAGTTTGGTCACAAAATGAAGGAAGAAATGAAGGATAGATAACATGAAATAAAGGAAAATGTACACAGAAACAACAGCAAAGGGAAGGAAACCAGGACTCAAATCAACAATTTGAAACAAAAGAAAGAAATAAATATCCAACTAGAACAGAATGAAGAAACAAGAATTCAAAAAAAATGGCAAGAGGCTTAGGAATCCCCAGGACAACTTTAAACATTCCAACATCCAAATCATAGGGGTGCCAGGAGGAGAAGAGGAAGAGCAAGAAATTGAAAACTTATTTGAAAACATAATGAAGGAGAACTTCCCTAATCTGACCAAGGAAATAGACTTCCAGGAAGTCCAGGAAGCTCAGAGAGTCCCAAAGAAGTTGGATGCAAGGAAGTACACACCAAGGCACATCATAATTACATTAAACGAGATTAAAGATAAGGAGAGAATCTTAAAAGCAGGAAAAGGAAAGGAGTCAGTTATCTACAAAGTAGTTCCCATAATACTATCAGTTGATTTCTCAAAAGAAACTTTGCAGGCAAGAAGGGACTGGAAAGAAGTATTTGAAGTCATGAAAGGCAAGGACCTACAGCTGAGATTACTCTATCCAGCAAAGCTATCATTTGGAATGGAAGGGCAGATAAAGTGCTTCTCAGACAAGGTCAAGTTAAAGGAGTTCATCATCACCAAGCCCTTATTATATGAAATGTTAAAGGGACTTATCTAAGAAATAGAAAAACAAAACTATGAACAGTGAAATGACAACAAACTCACAACTATCAACAATTGAACCTAAAAAAAAAATAAAAACTAAGCAAATAACCAGAACAGGAACAGTATCAGAAAAATAGAGATTACATGGAAGGTTATCAGTGGGGAGGGGGAGAATGGTGGCGGGGGAGGGAAGGTACAGGGAATAAGAAGCAAAACTGGTAGGTACAAAATAGACAGGGGGAGGTTAAGAACAGTATAGAAAATACAAAAGCCAAAGAAATTATATGTACAACTCATGGACATGAACTAAGGGGGAGGATTATGCTGGAGGGTGGGGTGGGGGTACAGGATAGAGAGGGGATAAAGGGGAAAAAAATTGGGACAACTGTAATAGCATAATGAATAAAATATACTTAAAAAAACTACAGTGAGATACCAGTTCATATCAGTCAGAATGGCCATCATCAACAAATCAACAAACAACAAGTGCTTGTGAGGTTGTGGAGAAAATGGAACCCTAGTGCACTGTTGGTGGGAATGCAGACTGGTGCAGCCACTGTGGGAAACAGTATGGAATTTCCTTAGAAAACTAAAAATGGAACTGCCTTTTGACCCGGCAACTCCACTGCTGGGATTATACCCTAAGAATTCTGAAACACTAATTTAAAAGAACCTATGCACCCCTATGTTCATAGCAGTATTATTTACAACAGTCAAGTGCTGGAAACAGCCTAAGTGCCCATTAGTAAGTGAGTGGACTAAAAAATTGTGGTGCATTTACCCAAAGGAATACTATGCAGCAGAAAGAAAGAAAGAACTCCTACCTTTCATGACAGCATGGATGGAACTGGACAGTATAATGCTAAGTGAAATAAGCCAGGCAGTGGAAGACAAATACCATATGATCTCACCTATAAGTGGAACCTAATCAATGAAACAAACAAATGAGCAAAAAAGAACCAAAGACATGGAAATAAAGAACAAACTGACAGTAACCAGAGAGGAGAAGGGAGGGGGATAATGGGGGAAAGAAGGGGAAGGGTCAAATCAAGAAACATGTAGAAAAGACCCGTGGACAAGGACAACGGGGTAGGCATTGTCTTCGAGAGTGGAGGTTGAATGGGGCAGGTGAGAGCAATGGGGTGAAAAATAGAGACAACTGTAACTGAACAACAATACAAAAAATAAAATGGTTAAAATGGTAAAACAAAACAAAACAAAACAAAACACCAACCCTAGTTCCATCACTGACAACTTCTGTGATTTGGTGCAAGATTCTTAACCTCTCTGAGCCTTGGTGTTCCCAACTGTAAAGGAGAATTTCTTGGAATTATTGAACTGTGTCACATCTTCATGAAATACTACTGTTTCACTGAATTCCCAAATTGTAATTTTCCTTAATACTTATTGGCAAGATGGAAGATAAGAAGAATTTTTGAAATGCCTTTTCCCGAAGACAATAAATCCATATTTAGTATCTATTCAAATAAAAATAATGCTATAAAGCAGTCATACCCAAAATAAGGATAATGAATTTATGATACCACAGTATTATTTCAGTTATTCATGCTGCACATCTTTGGAACATGTGTTAGCAGAGCACAAACAGGCCTTCCTCCCTGACATATTCTGTCTCAATCTGCTTTTGTACCCTCTGTCTGATAGCTGAATGCCAGTTAAATGGTATACCTTTGACTCAGATGTTTTTACAGAGGACGAAAGGAAACATCAAACCAGATGAACAAAACTGTAATGAGAAATGCTCAGAAAAATGATAAGGTGGAACGGGTCACCTTAGAGAGCAGTACATGGCTGTCACTGGAAGTATTCAAACAAAGTTTAGGAGGCCACCTATGAGCTCATGTACCTTAAGCCAAGGGTGATTCAGTGCTTCATAAACAGTGATCCTTTCAGCTGGATCCAGCATCAGCATGCGACGCACTAGGTCTTTGGCACTTTCAGAGATATGGCTCCACTGCCTTGGATTCATCTGAAGAGGAGGAAAGGAAAATGACAGTTATTTTCAGTAAAAAGTAACATTCACTATTATTTAATATTCCTATACTGGTTCAATGTCAATGAAATTCTCAGAGAAAATAATAGAAATCTAATTCTAAAGGCTTGTTTTCTAAGGAAGAAGACAAATACAATTCTTTTGTTTTAGTTGCTCATTATGAGATTTTGCATCAGTAAGTATTCCTTACATATGTTCTTGTTGTTATATGTTATAATACTTTTATTAATGGAAAAATAGAATGTTTATGATTACAGTTTCTACCTTGAAGGGACTAGAATACTTTGACCTAGAAAAAAACAAAAAGAAACTTTAAAAATGAAAAATTTTAGCCCTGGCTGGCGTAGCTCAGTGGATTGAGCACGGGCTTCGAACCAAAGTGTCGCAGGTTCGAATCCCAGCCAGGGTACATGCCTGGGTTGCAGGCCATAACCTCCAGCAACCGCACATTGATGTTTCTCTCTCTCTATCTCCCTCCCTTCCCTCTCTAAAAATAGATAAATAAAATCTTTAAAAAAATTTTAAAGAAATATTTTTGATATTTTGGTTTTAATTGGGATTAGCAGTAATTCTAAAGATATAGCAAGTTATTAATAAGATATTTTGGTCACTCTATATCAATTTCAGTCTTTAGGGAAAAATATGCTATTACCATAGATCTTATGAAATAGCCAGTTCACTTATATATTGTCCTCAGTGAAATCACTTTTGTTCTGTTTTTAGAGACAACTAAGCCACAAAGTAAACTAATTGAAGTGAAATAAAAAAATTGAGTTGTTTAAAAGACTCAGGACTTTTGAGAAAGACTGTGGATTTGTGAGGGAAAAATGCTGAAAGCTCCTGGAAAAAGGGCAAATCTGAGACTAGAAACCAGAAAAAAAATGCAAAGGAATGCTTTGGGTTTGGGGTTGGGAAGGCAAGTAGGTCAGGAGAATAGAGATGGAGGAGGAGGGTCTCATTCCCTATTTTAATATCAGGAAGCTGACTGATCAGTGAGCTTCAGTGAGCTGCCTGGTCCGAGGAGCTTTAAGCAATGCTATGACTTTAACCTTCAAAGGGAGAAAGATGGAGAATAAAGTCCATAACAATTTAAAATCAAATGAAATCACAACTTGCATCCAGTACATATGAATCATTACAATTTGGTCAAGGGTTAGCATTAGTCGCTCCACTCTGGCTAATGTGAGGCTTTGTACTTGTAGATGGGAAGTAAAAAATGTCTCCACGTTAGGGAGGGGATAGTTCTTAACATTGGAAGATGTTCCACTTTCTTTTTCTAACAGGCAGAATTCCAAACGATAGTTACTTTTGCTTGTCGGAGCCCATTAAAACAAACACCATGAGGTTGTTAAAATATTGTCATCCTACTGAAATTGTGATCAACTGACAGTTTGAAATAAGGAGGTGAGTGATTAAAGGGGAGTTAGGAAACCTTGTTTCCTGCTCACTATCCTAGAGCTATTGTACTATTTAAAGTCTGAATGATTAGTCTTTGGGGAAGGGTTTGAGAAATCCTCTGACAGTGGTGGTAAGATTTCTGGAGTAGAGTACAGGTTGAGTATACTTCCCCATGCCTTTTTTTAAAATTTAAATTTAAATTTTATTTTATTGTTGTATTGGGGAGCCAAATCTATGATTTTCTCTTCCTTTGGCTCAAAAGAGTAGCTGAAGTTAATTTGGGAGGTTGACTATATAAGGGGGGAACTAAACTAGGCTATAAAACAGTTACTTATTTGAATACAAAAGCCAGGCAGCTTAGACTTCTGCTGTGTAGATACCAACTGGTTACCTGTAGTAATGATATAAGATGATACTGTCCTTTATAAAAAAAAGTTAATTGAACAGGCTCATAGATACAAACTGAGGGTTGCCAGATGAGAGGGAGGTTGGGGGACTGGATGAAAAAGGTGAAGAAATTAAGAAATAAAAATTGGTAGAACAGAGGGAGGGGAAGGGGAATAAAGGGGGAAGGCAGGGGAAGGGGCAAGTAGAGGACTCATGGGCATGGAAAATGGGGGGGATTGACAGTTGAAGTGCGTGGGGGGATGGGGCAGGGGAGAGACAACTGTAAACTGAACAACAAAAGAATTGGTAGTTACAAAATGGTCATGGGGATGTAAAATACAATGTAGGGAATATAGTCAATAGTATTGTAATAACTATATATGGTACCAGGTTGGTACTAGATTTATTGGGGGTGGGGAATCACTGTATAAATTATATAACCACCTAACCACTATGCTGCATACTTGAAACTAATATAAAATAATATTGAATGTCAACCACAATTGAAAAAAGTTAACTGAAATTAAATGTTAGCATATATTCCAGTTAAACAGTATTCTCTCACATCCACTTTAAAAGATCAAGTAAGCTAGCAAATGAGGATAAAAAGCTAAACTAAAATAATTTAAGACCAGTAGTAGTTTATAAACTGTGACAATTGAAATATACTACATTTAAAAGATATAAAAAAATTTCTTGAAAATACCCATGGAGACCTAGGACTTTGTTAATAGTTCTTCTGTTAAGTACCACCAAGGTGATAAAATGATATTTTTGAGATCTGCTTCAAAAAATCTGGTAGTATGTGGAATATGGATAAAACAAGATGGGCTGTATATTGCTAAGTATTGAAGCTAGGGGTTCATTATATTGTTTATCCCTACTGTTTTTATTTGTTTGAATTTTCAATTAAACAAATATAAACATTAAGGGCTGATGGAATCACAGCATGCTATACTTAAAAAAATAAGATCCACCAGGTTCATCACTGATGAATAGAGATGAATCTATACTTCAAACTGAGCTGCTGAAAACCTGGAGTTTTTGTAAGAAAAGCCATGAATAAAAGCAAGAGGTGAAGTTAGCCAAGTAAGAGCATAAACAAGTTATTAACCTAAAGCTTCAAGCCTTCAGGTACTGAGATTATGATATAGCTGCCACCATCCACCTGACTTACTATAATAAGAATAGAGAATTTTAAAATAATTTAACCTTTGTACATGTGTGAACAGTCCAAGTTTTTTTTCCAAAGAAACAAAAATAACTATTCAATGCTTTAAATATAGACAAAGTCAAATACCAGAAGCAGTTGGAATGAAGTACATTGCCTTGGAAACAAGGAAGTTAGCAAATGAACAAACACAAAGGAAGAATTCTATTATTAGCAAATACTTATAACTCAAAAAGGCAGGTGGGAGATTTTATTACATGGTATCTACGTCATAAGTCACTGTGAGGATAAAGTGAGTTAAATATAAGTATTTAGAACAGTTCATGGCACAAAGTAAGTACTGTGTATGAGTTAGCTATCCTTGTTGCTAGTATTATTATTATGCTGATGCATTACCATTTGTGCTTATTTTGATGTTAGTATCTGTGATTTCACTTGGCAAAGTTCAACCACAAAGCCACAGTGTGCACTCCTGATAGCCACTCACAATTTCCAGGGATTGAAGGGGGATGTTTACTTACAAGCAGTTTATTTCCCAGTGGTCAACTGACTCTAAGAAAAGCAGAAAAACCTATACTTAAAACATCTCTCTCTGTCAACAGAATTTTGGCATATATCTTAACCCAAATAAAAGACAAACCTGTATGCCTTCATAAGCTGATGGTCTATAGGCCAAAAAAAAAAAAGTATAAACCAGTCTTAACTACAGAAACTTCAGTTTTGGCTTAAAAGAATAAGGCTGTTACTCTAAAATTACTTTACCTTTCTTTTCTTTCCTTTACTTTTTTTCCAAGTGCGATATAAAATCCTAACATTACTAAAGAATTGAAAAGAAAATTTTAGGGACTTCATAGTTTTTCAGTCTAGTGTTATATAAACCCACGTGTTTGAGTTTATGTTGCTAGGCATGGCTGAAAATGAAATAGTTCTGTTGCGTAGCAAGTACAGGTTTCAGTAAGAATGGGAGGAAAAAGAACTTCCCCAACATCAGCAGCCCTGATCTAATATGCAGATACACTCCCCCATGCTTCTCATACACAGCATCCTATTCTGTCAGTCATATGTGGTGGGATGTGGCAAAACAGTTTAAGAACTGGGATAGTGAGGTCAACCTTAAGCTTGTTGATTTCCAAGAATTCCTTAGGTCTTTTTGGTATCACTATTCATAATGTCAGTAATGACTTTTTACTTTTTAAACAATGAAAGTAATAATATACTAATAAGAAGTTTGTAAATTGTACATGTGGTTTCCAATCCATATTAGCCAATGAAAAATATGAATAAGTCACATCAAGATGGCTCCAAATTATATTACGGACTGCAGTTGTGATACTGGTATTTAGTTGTTTATTCTGGAATGTAAATGGCAAATTTTTCAGCTATGCAGATTAGCCTGAATAAATGAGTTTGGCTACCAGACAGCTAATGGATACTTTCATTATATTTTTTAAAATTTAATCTTTATTATATTTTTCCATTACCATCTATCCCCCTTATACCTCCCCCCCTGCAATCACCATACTGTTGTCCATGAGTTCTTTTTCCTTTTCCCTCAATCCCTATACCCCCATCCTCCCCCTGCTACCTGTCATCCGTTCTCCATTTATGAATCTGTCTCTGTTTTGCTTGTTAGTTCAGTTTGTCCATTAGATTCCATATATGAGTGAAATCATATGGTATTTGTCTTTCTCTGACTGGCTTATTTCACTTAGCATAATGTTTTCTAGGTTCATTCATATGTTGCAAAGGGTAAAATTTTCTTCTTTTTTATGGCTGAGTAGAATTCTATTGTGTAAATATGCTAACAGATACTTTTAAATCTGGGTTGATGTCTATCAAAAAAAAACTTACTCAGGGTAAAATAAAAGGTCAAATTCTATCACAATGAATTCTAAGGATCATCCCCTATTTTTTCCCTGAACTAGAATTTTATTTGAAATCCCTAAAGCACTAACTGAACAATTTCTTTAACCTACCTAAATGAGCAGTTTTGCTAGAATATTTATTTGTGGATAAAGAATTCAATTTGTAGTGGATGTGGCTTGTGAATCTGAGGGCTCAGGACTCTTAAAACAGTTGACTTGCACATGGGGGAAAGAGGGACATATATTTGGTCTCTGGTTTTTACACTGTATGAAAGAGAACTAGGGTCCCTGTTTTCTAGCCTAAACACAGAGCTGGGATCCAAACAGGGCAGAGAGACTTTAGCTGCAACACAGAGGAAAGGAAAAGGGAGGGGCAAGGCAATGGTTTTAAAGTCAGTCCCCTTTCTTCTACTTAGATGACTGTTTAGCTGATAGTGACTCAGAAATTTACTTGTGGCCTATGTTGCCCACCAAGGCTAGTGGATCAATGATGTAAGCAAAGAACTTTTCTGTGACTTGGTATGTGACAACCAATAAGCAACCCAAAGACAGATAGTTACTTCAAAACACATTTTACAGAATAATTTCATCACAATGAAAAAAGTAAAACATTCATAATATATTACCTTGTATTTTCCTTTAATAATGCCTTCAAACAACCGTTCCTTGGTTCCATAAAAAGGCAAACAACCACTTAGCAGGATAAAAAGGATCACACCACAACCCCAGACATCTACGGGTTTTCCATAAGGCTCTCTTTTGACAACTTCTGGGGCCATAAAATGAGGTGTTCCAACGCGTCCTACATTTAAAACAATATCAAGGAAAAAATATTTACATTAAATGAGCTTGTTTCCCCATTTGAAAACTGAAAACAATACAACCATAACTGTCTGAATGAAAAGTTTAACAAAATATTGCCCTACTACCTCTGCCCTTCTTGATAATATCAAGTTTGCAGAAAGAAATGCATTATTTATCTAATTACTTCTAATATTCATACTTCCTATTGAACTCAGCAGTACACAGCAAGTGTTTCTCGTTTCATGAAGCTGTTTACATTTTCTAATTTTCACAAGTTAAAAAGTAAAAATAATATAGAACAGAGGCAGGTGGAAGAGTCAGCAGGCAGAGTGTGGCTGCCTAGCAAAGAACCGGGAGGGCCTGCCCTGGGCAGGGCCAGGGAGGGGATGGTGGCACAGGAGTGAGGAAAAAAATCTGTGGAGAAAAAGATCACTTTTAACTGCCGAATGGAAATTCTCAAATTAAACCCAATACTGAGAACTTTTAAGAGTATGAATTTGAATCTGAAATCCTGTTTAGATTTTAGGTGTTGATTATAACAGTTAGCAATGATTAGTAATATTTTGTTAGAAGATTTTTAAAGTTTCCTTCTAATGTTAGCATTTGAAGAGAATGAAGGCAAATACATGACATAAATCACAGTCAGAAACTCTTCCATTCAATACTTTTGACCTTCATTTTTTTGTTATGTATTCCTTTTATTGGAAACAACCCACAGAAGTTTAGGTGTGTGAATAGTAATTGCATGAATCATAAGTGTACAAATGTAAAAATTTTTTACACAATGAACATTTGTGATCAGCACCAAAATCAAGAAACAGATCCTTTTTTTCTTTTTTTATTGCTGTTGAATTACAGTTGTCCCCATTATCCCATTACTCTACTCTGTCCTACCCACCTCCATCTCCCATACTAAGTCCTACCCCGCCCTTGTTGTCTTTGACCATGGGTCCTTTGCACATGTTCCTTGATAACCCTTCCCCTTCTTTCCCCCATTATCCCCCTTCACTCTCCCCTCTGGTCACTGTCGGTTTGTTTTTATTTCTATGTCTCTGGTTCTATTTTACTCCCTTGTTTGTTTTGTTGATTTGGTTCCATTTATAGGTGAGATCATATAGTATTTGTCTTTCACCGCCTGGATTCATTTAGCATAATGCTCTCCAAATCCATCCATGCTATCATGAAGGGTAGGAGTTCCTTCTTTCTTTCTACTGCATAGTACTACATTGTGTAAATGTACCAGTTTTTTGATCCACTCATTTACTGATGGGCATGTAGGATGCTTCCAACACTTGGCTATTGTAAATTGTGCTATGAACATTGGGGAGCACAGGTTCTTTTGAATAGGTGTTTCACGATTCTTAGGATATAATCACAGCAGTGGAATTGTCAGGTCAAAAGGCAGCTCCATTTTTAGTTTTCTGAGGAAATCCCATACTGTTTTTCACAGTGGCCACACCAGTCTGCATTTGCACCAACAGTGTATTAGGGTTCCTTTTCCCCACAATCTCACCAGAATTTGTTGTTTGTTGATTTGGTTATGGTGGTCATTCTGACCAGTGTGAAGTGGTATCTCATTGTGGTTTTAATTTGCATCTCTCTGATGGCTAGTGATGCTGAGCATTCTTTCATATGCCTCTGGGTCCTCTATATATCCTCCTTGGAAAAGAGTTTGCTCAGTCCTTTGCCCATTTTTTAATTGGATTGTCTTCCTGGTGTGGAGTTGTGTGGGTTCTTTATATATTTTGGGGATCAAGCCCTTGTCCGAGGTTTCATTTGCAAATATATTTTCCCATACAGTTGGTTTCTTTTCTTTGTTTTTAATATATTTTATTGATTATGCTATTACAGTTGTCCCATTTCCCCCCTTCACTCCCCTCCACCCTGTACACCCTCTCCCACCCACATTCCCCCCCCCCTTTAGTTCATGTCCATGTGTCATACTTAGGAGTTCTCTAGCTTCTACATTTCCCGTACTATTCTTGCCCTCCCCCTATCTATTTTCAACCTACATTCTATGCTACTTATTCTCTGTACCTTTTCCCCGTCTCTCCTCCTCCCAGCCCCCTGTTGCTAACCCTCCATGTGACCTCCATTTCTGTGGTTCTGTTCCTGTTCTAGTTGTTTGCTTACTTTCTTTTGGTTTAGGTGTGGTTGTTCATAATTGTGAGTTTGCTGTCCTTTTACTACACATGTTTTTTCTTTATCTTCTTTTCTTAGATAAGTCCCTTTAGCATTTCATAAAATAAGGGCTTGGTGATGATGAACTCCTTTAACTTGACCTTATCTGAGAAGCACTTTATCTGCCCTTCCATTCTAAATGAGAGCTTTGCTGGATAGAGCAATCTGGGATGTAGGTCCTTGTCTTTCATGACTTGGAATATTTCTTTCTAGCCCCTTCTTGCCTGTAAGGTCTCTTTGGAGAAATCAGCTGACAGTCTGATGGGAACTCCTTTGTAGGTTACTGTCCCCTTATCTCTTGCTGCTTCTAGGATTCTCTCCTTCATTTTTACCTTGGCTAATGTAATTATGATGTGCCTTGGTGTGTTTCTTCTTGGGTCCAACTTCTTTGGGGCTCTCTGAGCTTCTTGGATTTCTTGGAAGACTGTTCCCTTTGCCAGACTGGGGAAGTTCTCCTTTATTATTTGTTCAAGTAACTTTTCCACTTGTTGTTCCTCCCCTTCTGGTACCCCTATAATTCGGATGTTGGAACGTTTAAAGATGTCCTAGATGCTCTTAAGCTTCTCCTCATTTTTTTGAATTCTTATTTCTTCATGCTTTCCTGCTTGGTTGATTCTATCTTTCTTCTGGTCCACTGTATTGTTTTGAGACCCAGTTTCCTTCCCTTCATTATTGGCTCTCCTCCGTGTATCTTCCTTCATCTCTTTTATGGTAACCTGCATCTTTTCATCTAATTTGCGCCCAAAATCAACCAATTCCGTGAGCTTTCTGTTCACCAGTGTTTTGAACTGTGCATCTGATTGATTGGCTATTTCTTGGTCGCTCAAAAGGATGAATCCTGGGGGACTGATCTGTTCTTCTGTTGGAGACATGTCTCTCCCTGTTTCTCCTTTTTTTTCTTGTCTGGTCGCTCTTGTTATAGTGGGGGGCGGAGCCTTAGGTGTCCCCCGGGGCTGGGCACCCCAGTTGCTAGATTGTGACGTTATATGTGGGGGCGGGGGCGGGGGCGGGAGCAGAGATGGGAGGGAACAATGGCGGTAGTCCCGTTCTCCTGGGATCTCAGTCCCTGCTCTGGGATCCTGGGTTGTGAGCTCTGCCCTGGTCCACAGTTGCTACCTCACTGGGTCCACCAGCCACTGCTTGCATACTCAGGGCCCACCGCTGCGATCTTGCGCGCCCCAGAGGGCTTATGCGCTGAGTTCGCGCCAAGTTTTCCCCGACCTCCGTGTGCTGCCGACCCGCGCCCGCCCGGCTCCTCTTCTCGGCTCCTCCTACCAGTCTGGATGTACGGGTCTACTTCAACTTCTTGGCTGTCTGACTTCCATTCAGATAAATCCTCTATCAGTTCTGGGTGTTATTCTGGCTCTAAATTGTTGTTCTAATCTTGGTTGTGCGTGGAGGTACGGCGTGTCCACCTATTCCTCCATCTTGCCGGAAGTCGGTTTCTTTTCTATTTTGCTGATATTTTCTTTAGCTGTGCAGAAACTTTTTAATTTGATGAAGTCCCATTTGTTATTCTTTCCTTTACATCACCTGCTCTAGGGGACATATTGGTGAAAATACTGCTGCGTGGAATATCTGAGATTTTCCTATGTTCTCCTCTAGGACTTTTATGGTGTTACAACTTATATTTAACTCCTTTACCCATATTGAGTTTATTTTTGTGTATGGTATAAGTTGGCAGTCGAGTTTCACTGTTTTGCATGCAGCTGTCCATATCTACCAACACCATTTGTTGAAGAAACCAATTCTAACCCATTTTATGCAGCTGGCCCTTTGTCAAATATTAATTGACCACAGAGACATAGGTTTAATTCTGGGGTCTCTATTATGTTCCATTAATCTATTTGTCTGTTCTCATCCCAGTACCAGACTGTTTTGATTACTGTGGCCTTATAATATAGTTTGATGTCAGGTATCGTAATCCCTTCTACTTCGTTCTTTTTTCTCAAAATCGCTGTGGCTAGTCAGGGTCATTTACGGTTCTATATAGATTTTTAAAATGTTTTCTCTATACCTGTGAAATATGGCATTGGTATTTTAATAGGGATTGTGTTGAATCTATCAATTGCTTTGGGTAGTATGGTCATTTTGATGATGTTAATTCTTCCAATCCATGAACATGGTATATGTTCTCATTTATTTGTGTCTTCCTCAATTTCTTTCTTCAGTGTTGTGAAGTTTTCTGAGTACATGTCTTTTACCTCCTTGGTTTGGTTTATTCCTAGGTATTTTATTGACTTTGTATCCTGCTGTTTTGCCAAATTCACTTATTAAGTTGGGTAGTTTTTTGGTGGAGCCTATAGGGGTTTCTATATCATGTCATCTGCAAACAATGACAGTTTTACTTCCCCTTTCCAATGTGGATGCATTTTATTTCCTTTTCTTGTTTGATCTCTGTGGCTAGAACTTCCAATACTATGTTGAATAGAAGTGGTGAAAGCAGACATCCTTGTGTTGGTCCTGATCTTAGTGGGAAAACTTTTAGTTTTTGCCTGTTGAGTATGATGTTGGCGGTATGTTTCTCACATACAGCCTTTATTATGTTGAGGTATGCTCCCTCTACTCCCATTTTGCTGAGTGTTGTTATAATGAATGAATGGGTGCTATACTTTATCAAATGCTTTTTCCATATCTATTGATATGATCATGTGGTTTTTCTCTTTTCTTTTGTTAATGTGGTGTTTTACATTCATTGATTTGTGAATACTGTACCATCCTTGCATCCTGGGGATGAATCCCACTTGATCACGGTGTGCGACCATTATAATGTATTGCTGGATATGGTTTGCCAATGTCTTGTTGAGGATTTTAGCA